GGGCTCCTCCACTAACAGCTCACAGCCTCAGTCTACCAGCAAGGCATCCTCTTGGCGGGCCCCACTGGTGTGCTTGCGTTACAATTCCCCCTTTCAGCTTTCGTGCACAGCTAAGCAACCAAGTGCAGCCGCGCCATTGCCGCGACCTAGCTTTGGTATACCCAGAGCTGGCCCCAAACATGTCCCACCTCAGCTGTGTGCTGCAGTGCCAATCAGGATACCTACGCCCCTGCCATCATTTCGAGCTTCCTCCAGCTACGCGGTCTACCCGAAGCAAGCTTCAGCAGTTCAGCTTTCATTTGCTGTACCGTCGCCGGCCCCAGAACAGCTCAGCATGTCATCTACCTCTTTAACGCTTAACACCGGCGTGAGACAGAAGCCCCGCATGGTTCAGGACGCTTTCACAACCAGCCAGGATGGTCATCGCGAGATGAATGAGAAGAACGCAGCGCTTTTCTCAGCATTGTGCCATTCACACGCTTCAGTCAGCTCCGTTCTATCCCAGCTTGCGCAGAGCCAACACGGCAAGGCCATCAGGGAGCGTCTTCTCTCCAAGGTTAGTGATACCACCGCTGCCAGGTATCTGCGCTCAGTTCAACTTTTCTTTGTGGCATATGAGGAACTGGGTGGCCAGCTGGAGGAAATCAATACAGGCCTCTTTCTGGACGCTTTCTTTGCTTTGTCTCGCTCCTCTGAGGATGGCCCGCTTTCCAATTCACAGAATGTCCTCAAGGCCTTACGATGGTACAAGAAGCTGCTAGGCCTTGGCACCCTTCCTGATTTATATGGCCCCGCCTTCAGCTTACTGTCAGCTTCTTCTGAACAGGAGAAGAAGGAGTCCATCCCGCTCCCGCTGACCTTCGTGGCATTTCTTGAGGGCATACTACTCAATGACAAAGCCCCACTTGAAGACCAGGTATGGGCAGGCTGTTTCTTAACAGCCATCAGCGCGAGTCTCCGCTTTGCAGATTGTCAGCATGTACGCTGGTCTTCGCTTTGTGTCAGCCAGTTCCTCTTGAGAGGTATCTGCTTCAGAACTAAGACAACCCGGAGCGGCGCGCCTTGGGGCCTGGTTAGCTTTGGCCCCATTTCCTGCTCTGACAAACCAGGCATGACATGGCTCCCGCGCTGGATTGCGGCACTGGATAGCATCTGGTTCTCGCTCAAACGTCGCTTTGGCCCCCAGACAGTCCCGGACTGTTTGTTTTTCTTCTGGAACGAGAATGCCTTCATGCCAGCTTCATATTCTCAGACACTTTGCCAACTTCGGAGCTACATGGTGAAGTCAGGCATACCCGCTGCACAAGCTAGGACGTATACCCTACACAGTCTGAAGACAACTTACTTATCATGGATGGCACAACTATCCCTGCCACTTCCCGCACGCTTTCTGCAAGGCCATCACAAACCGCCCGGCTCAGCCCAGCTCTATAGTCGGGACGATGTGTGGCCTGCTCTGAAAGCACAGGTGCTACTCTGGCGAGCAGTCCATAGTGGCTTCCGTCCGGTCAGGCCCCAACACCGTGGAGGGCAATGCCCGCTTTCAGAGCCGCCACTTGAGTTATCAGGTACATCTTGGTCTGCATGCTCCCCTCAGCTTCGTTGCTTTACTCTTGAGGATGATGCTGCTGACTTTCTGACAAGGGAGGCCAAAGATGAAGACCTTCGGGAAGCTCGCTTGGCTTCAGAAGCAGAGCTTGGTGCGGAACCCAAGCTTCCCGCTTGCACTCAATGGCGTGCGCAGGTCGACCCCTTTATGGACTCTGATGGCGACGAGCCGGGCACGCAGCAAAGCGCTTCAGCAACTTCGGTCCTTGCGGAGGCCGAACCCACATGGCAGTCAGCGGCTGAGCCCAAGGAGGCACCCCAGCCTAAGGGCTGGCCAAAGGCCGCGGCGCCCCCTTCTCAGGAGTGCGGGTCCTTCCGCTTTCTAGTCAGCACCTCGGGGGTGGCACACGCATGCATCTCACACCCCGGCTCCCGTGTGGTTTGCTCAGCTTGTCAGTTGCCATCATGTGAAATACGCTGCCACCCCGCTTGCGGTTGCATTACAGATTTTTCTCCGGCCTCCGAGATTCCCGGAGACGCTCGCTTGTGCAAGCGCAAAGCTTGCCTTTTAGCTTCGACTCCCGCAGCAAGTCAATGAGGAGTGCTGAAATGGCCGCAGTGCCGTACACTCAAGTCACCGCTGATCCATGCTTCGTATTGTCTTAGCCCGCTTGTGCTTAAACCCTGCATGCGTGCATTCTCTCAGCTCGAGCCCCGCTTTTATGTACTCGAAATCCGCATTTCTTCCAGCTTGGGTGATGGAGAAACTCACTGAAGGAGGCTCTAGCTTGGTCGAAGCATTTGAGGCTCTCCCCCTGGACGAGAAGCTCAAAGTGCTCCGCTCTAGGGATGCCCGGGACCGCCAGCAAACTGCGGAGAACAACACCCCAGCACCAGCGGCTGCCCATCAGGGGAGCGCAGGCAGCAATGGCCCGACAATCCCCACACCTCCCGTGGATCCAATGGGGGAGCACATCGCTTCCGAAGAGTACAATGAGCCGACTTTGCCCGCTTCTGGGGCCACAGCTGCACAGCCCACATCCCGGCCTATGCCGGAGGTTGCCAAGGCAGCCAATCGCGGGCAAAAACCTCCACCGGATGTGAAGACACCACCAGCCCGGTCAACAGCCGCACCGGCAAACAATCCAACCGCTGCAAAGGCCAACCCGCCTCCGGGGCACATTCCACCCACAGCAACCCCGGCTGCTTCGACCCCGCCCCCCAAGGCCGTGCCAAAAGACCCCCCAGTAGCAAACCCCACCACTCAGGCTTCTGCCAAGGCACCTCCACCACAGATATTCGTCGACGACCCGGTGCCCGCAGACCCGGCCCCTTCCCAGCCCATACCTGAGCAAGCCACCCATCCCGGGGCCCCCGAAAGGGCACCCGCTTTGGCCTCAGAAGCCCCCCCTTTCAGGGTGGGGCACACAATCAATGATTCAGAAGGTCGCCCACTTCTCTGCTTAGTTCAATT